AATTAAAATAGATTGTTGCATTCTTTATTTTACCTTTGTACTTTAGACAGGTTTAATTTTTGACCAATAAGAAATTTTCATTTTTTCATAATCATGCTACTTTAAAGTAATAATTAAGAATTATACCATTATGATTCGTAAATATTAACGAATAATCTGGATCTCGGTATGCTCTAGATGTAAAAAAAAAATTGCTATCAAGCTTCCGACCTAATGTAACGTCATCGTCAGGGCAAAAAAATCTTAGAGATATCTACAAAATGACATAATTAAATTTTGAGCAGAAGGTTTCAAATTGCTTTGACGACCGACTCAGCTCCAACATTGCCAACGACTATCAAAAAAATTAAAAACAATTTAAAAATTATTCGGAAATCGTGAGATGCTGTCTGGTGTGATATAGGTTTCAGAAAAACATTTTCTTTATCGTGCGAACGTTTCGATCTTTATTGAGGCCCTGAAGATGATCTCAATAAAGATCGAAACGTTGGCACGATAAAGAAAATGTTTTTGTGAAACCCACAGCACACCAGACCGCATCTCACGATTTCCGAATAATCATCGACTAACGGTCCAATAAACATACCTAATCACCACACAATTTAAAAACTTAATTATGTCAATGTGTAGACATTTTTAAGATTGTTTTGCCCTTATGATGGCCTTAAAATAGGTCGAATGGTTGGCAGATAACAATTGAATTGGTTTTTTCATCCGGACCATACCGAGATCCATATTATTCGTGAGTAAATAAAATGGTCAATACATTTTAAACACATAAATATTGTTAGGTTCATGAAGCTCTTTTCCTTTAGAACACTTCGAGGAAAAAGAACAAAAACCTCAAACTTTTAGCACAAAATGTTTCACATGAATAACGCAAAACTATTATATATTGTTAATAAAATATATTGTTAGCAATAAATACTTGTAAGATATTAAGTGTAGGTTCTTGAACAGTTGTACGGCTGGTGTTTGAGAGAATTCTCAAGGTGATTTGATGTCTGTTAAATAGTGTGGCACACAGCACGGAGCCCTGGGGAACTCCTGCTTCAACGGCCGCTAAGGATTACTGAACTTCTTACGTGTACATAAAACGATATATTTAGAAAAACCCAGACATATTTATATAACTAGATTGTAATCACGGGATAAAAATTGTTATTAAAATAATTAGAACAGGTAAAAGCCAGAAAGACTAGGTGCTTTAGGGTGGCAAAAGTGCTGTAAATATACAAGACGACTATAACCTCCAGTCTATATTTTACTTTTGTTTTTCTGTTTTCAGTATCGTCAAATAAGTTCCAGTACGAGCCCATCTAATTGAGAATGACGTTTAATTTAAGATTAAACTACATAAGCAAATATGCAAGGGAAAACTTCTGACAAACTAATTAACGGATAAAAAATTGCAGTGCACGCACTCGGGATAGAAATTAATAATGGGATAAAACGCAAACTTAACAAAAAATGAAGGGTTAGTAACCGCCAACTATTTATTTTTCAAAATGCCTGCGAAGCCAAAGAGGGCGGACAGATGTAAAAACTATTCAAGTCACACAAATCTCCCTCGGAAATTTCCAGTTATGACTTAACTGTTAATATTTTTATTCTAAAACTGTCGTCCGTGGTATCTATGAAATATGCCAGATGATAACTTTAACGTTATCTACAGTGGTGCAAAAGCAAAAGAAATAAAAAAAGCACTTTTCTATAACTATAAAACTGTAAATATACGTTTAAAAGTGAGCACTTTTATTTCTTTATTTTTGTATTTTGTATTATGTATGCATCTGGCATATTTCATAGAATAAAAATATTAACAGTTAAGTCAAAACTGGAAATTTCCTAGGGAGATTTGTGTGACTTGAATAGTTTTTACATCTGTCCATCCTCTTTGGCTTCGCAGGCATTTTTTCTACAAGTTGAAGGTTGCAAGCTTCAAAGTATAGAACTTTGGAGTTTGCAAAGTTATAAAAATAAGTTTTTAATCGTATATTTGTCGTTGATACAACATATCTTGTAAAATTAACTAAATTGGGTTTTAAACTATAAATAGCTGTTTACTTATGATTGGTTGGAGAATAATTCTAGATATAAAATATAAATATTCGGTTGTGCGTTTATGGAGAAAATAGATTTAGTTTATCAAATCAAACACCGGCACCCCGAGGGTTGATTTGTCCTAGGCTGTTGCGAAACACCCTCGAAAAAAAATATTTAAAAATAATAAAAAATACGCCTCCTCTGGTCTCGCGGATGGCCTTAAGTCTCCTAGGCATCGAGTAAATAAACGATGTGACTTCGTCTTGTGAAACAGAATATCATTCTTCAAAAAGAGCGTCTTGTTCTTCAACTCTCGTTGGAGGAGGATGTCTAACACGTCCCTTTATCATGTCCCATGTCCCAGAGTAAAGCCCTATAACCATATGCGGTCGAGCATTACCATGCATTAACAAAGTTGTCCCAATTAAATGGAGCGAATAGGACCACAGCTTCCCGAAGGACTTCCTCGATGTACTTGTTCAGTCAAAGAGTACCGTAACTGACTGTCTTTGAAAAGTCTGTGACTCATGGCACATAAAACAAAGCGTTCTCCACGTCTACTGCACACACGGTCCCGGTAATTTGATTGCCACAAACCATACCGGCACTCATCTATGAAGAGAACAGCCGCCATTGTTCAAATGTCCAAGCGAGATGCTGAGTTGCGAATAGCTCTTTCTACTCAATACCTCTCCAGTAATAGAAAACTGATGCGGACGTCTAGAGACTCACGAAGCCTTCTGCTACCTCACTCTTACATGACGGACCGTTTAGAGTTGACAGTCTATCAAGGAAGACGTTAAGTGGCGGTAAGAGCAATAAAACGATCGTCTCTACATCGCAGTCGATCTTAGACCATCGTGGGTGGTAGAGCGGGCTCACCTAAGAATTCGTCTATGTAACATCCGTCGTTGACAAAACCATCTGCCCGGGCGCGATCTTCTCAACTTAAAAACCATACTTTTAAGAAAAATAATTGTCTTTACTCAAAGTTATTGTTTCATCAAAGAAAACAATTAAAAAACCAATTAACTCACTCAACACGTTTCAGCATTTTCTGTATTTATGTAAGGTTTTGGTTGGAATGAAAAAGCTAGTACCACGAGCGGGATTCGAACCCACGACCTTCGGCTAAATACGCCCTTGCTCTACCAATTGAGCTATCGTGGCTTCGAACCACTCAGACACCAACTTCCCATCTCAACCTCACCTTTTTAAATTTTTCCCTCCTTTTTGCAATTTTTCAAATGACGTGCAATCAGGATTTGATTCTCGGCGACAAATGAAATGGCCACGGAGAGCTTTAGTGAAGCTATACTTCGTTTTACCTATTAAATCCATTATATTTCGTGGACCGATTGACAAAACAGCTTCTTTCAATTAATTAATCTTTATGTAAGGTATTGGTTGAAATAAAAAATCTAGTATCACGAGCGGGATTCGAATATTTTCCGATTGGATCGAAGTCACGATAGCTCATCAAGTGCAGATCAGCGGCGTATTGAGCCGAAGGTCGTGGGTTCGAATCCCGCTCGTGACACTAGCTTTTTCATTTCAACCAATAACTTACATCAAGGTTAATTAATTGAAATAAGTTATTTGGCCAATCGGACCACGAAATATAATGAATTTTTGTTTATTTTTAATCTATAGTGTAATACTCTGTATAGGTATGGAAGATAAATAAACATAAATGTATGATTTTTTAACTTTTAGTGCATTTCTAAATTTTGGAGTATGTTCATTTTTCGTCTTTTTGTACGTTGGGTAGTAGTTTCATACTTGTTTGTTTGTCGATTGTTTTGATTAGGTGGGTTAATTCCATTTTCGACGATGTCACTAAGTCCCTAAACGAGTTGATGCGTTCCTTGCCTTATTTTTCGTCCTACCTGTCAGATGTATTTGTTTCCTCATTCACACGTTAGTGTGTATATTCCTTTCTTTTTTTGCCCTAGAGGGTTGGTCTTGTCGATGTTTTGTCTTAGAAATTTTCCTATTGTATTTGAAATTTTCAATGCTATTTCTATGCCTAATTGTTGAATGTGTTAGTTAGTTTGTATATTTCTTTCCCGATGTTGTTTTGTTTTTGTGCACGTACTTTGTTCATTATTTTGTTGGTTGTGTTTGTGTTGTGCTGTGATTTATATTATTTTTAATTCGATTCTACTAGTCTTTGGTTAGTGGAATTGATATTAGTCTGTCTGGCATGTATTCCAGTGCTGCCATTTTGTGTTGCATTGTTATAACTTACTACAGTATGGGCACATGTTTAATCATAAGTATTACTATATTGTTTTGAATTGTTAGAGAAAGGGTGGCGGGATTGAAAACTTGCGAGAGAAAAAGTAAAAGACAACAAATTAAGGGACATAGAGAAAGTTTGTATGTAGAGTACGCGTTTTATAGCATTGAGGATTAATCGGAATTGTTAGAATTAATTTTATTACTAGGTTTTTTAAAGGCGTGTTGGGTTTTATAACATTTCGAGATATATAAGGTTTTTCACCTATTCATTACGACTTCCGTCTTATCTCGGCTAAACTTCTAAGCCGTCCACCTTTTCAACTATTCACACCCCTCGAAGGATCAAGGGCTTTTTCAAGTTTAACACATGGTAATATTCGTGAAGACAAGCGGTTATCTTGAAAATAACAATTTACGGTCCCGCGATAACGACCAGTTGGCTCGATACTGCTGTTTGGTTTAGTTTTTTCTCTCTATTTGTTCATCCGGGGAGCCGAGGACTATTTGTAAAGCCGGCCGAGAATAAACGTTTCCTTTTTCAACCCTTTATTTTCAACGGGCGTTTCTTCCGCGGGGACAAAGGAGACTCGAACTCGGCCAAGGCCTGTCCTACTATTTACATTAATTAAAGACGGCCTACATGCATGCGATTACTTATTCTCTTTGTACTTGCGATGTTTGTTTTTAAATTTGAATTTCTTCTTTTATAGGAAAGGGTGCAGGCGAAGGACCCCCCTGGCCTCTACTTGAAAAAGCTGAAGACTTACTTGGACCCAAAAGCTTCTCGGAGTGCCAAAGTAAGTTGAACTATATTTATTTGAAGTTATAATTGTGACAAGGTGAGCACCTTTTCTTCGTGTGTGGTGTTTAGTGACCGTTAGTCAATGATTAGTCGGAGATTGTGAGATGTGGTTTTAGAAAAAAAATTTTCTTTATCGTGCCAACGTTTCGATCTTTATTGAGATCATCTTCAGGGCCTGGGATGAAAAAAATGGCTTTATACAATTTTAGATTTAAAAAATAAATAGATAAATAAAATAATTTTATACAATGCTAGAAAATTTTAGATCTTTTAATTTAAAATTTTTTAGCATTGTATAAATTCATTTTATTTATTCATTTATTTATTTTTAATGTAGCATTGAATAATTCATTTTTTCACATCCTGCATGTATTTGTAAAATTTAAACAATGTTTATAAATCCCAGGCCCTGCCCTGAAGATGATCTCAATAAAGATCGAAACGTGGCACGATAAAGAAAATGTTTTTCTAAAACCTACGTCACACGATCTCCGAGTAATCTTTTCCTACATTGTCTTCTAGAAAAATAAGCATTTATTATAAATTTAAGAGTTAATGTAAAAGATTTTTAGTACATTACAGTTTAGATCGATCCGTATTCCTCCTATTTTCTTCTGGTTTGGTATATTTTGGGCATGTGGTCCGTCATGTTTCTTCCATCAGGACCGCATACCCAAATAATATCCCAAATCAGAGTAGAATCGAAGTTGATTGATATCTGGAAATCCACTTTTTTTCCGAACATTTTTGTTTTAGATTCATATCTTAATTTTATAGATTTTGTGTGTAGTGTTTATTTGTTTCGTTAGTTAATGATTATTTGGGGATGTGAATGCGGTCTGGTGTGAAGTAGGTTTTATAAAAACATTTTCTTTACCGTGCCAACGTTTCATCTTTATTGAGCCCTTTGACACTTTGAGCCCTGAAGATGATCTCAATAAAGATCGAAACGTTGGCACGATAAAGAAAATGTTTTTATAAAACGTACGTCACACCAGACCGCATCTTACGATCTCCACATAATCAATTTATAGATTTTGTTCAATCCGAATAATATTGCAAATTAAAGGTAGTGGTGATTGTTGGTCTACCTGGGGAGCTGATGGTCATTTGATCACTTTACTGGGTCCGTCTACTCACGCTTGTTATTGCCCTATAATGTCGCATTATATAAATATGAGTAATATATGTAAAAAATATATTCAACCATTATATCCTGTAGGCATGTGCTTTCTTTCTATGTTTTCCGGCCAGTCATCGGTCTTACTTCGTACCTAATGGTTACTGCAGATGGAGTGAAGTGGAAACGTCTTCCGCAAAGAACAAATAAGCGAGAATAGACGGATCACGGTCGTTAATCACAAACCAAAACTATGCTTACAAAATATAATTTGACAATTATCTTAACTGACAAAGAAATGCTTAGCGTTTCGTTAATTTTTTCGCTCTTAATAATAAATCTATTAAGTTTATTGCTTTAATTAATTAAAGAGCAAAGTGGCAACTATAAAGGGTTACTGGTATTCAGTTTTGTTAGATAAAATGTATTGCGTCTGGCCAAAATGCATTCATTCTGAAGCTCGGAAAGAATGTCTTAAGTCGTCGTTATACCAACTTTTATATGAAACTATTGAACAGGAGGGTTTACGTTTTCCCAGACGCTATAAATCAATAAAGCAGCCCCTAGACATGTCGGAAAATAACGACGTGTTAGACTAGTTTGATTCCCTCGTCTCGGGGGCGTATGAGTCAGCGAGGGCGGTATGCCCTCGTCCCGACCCTCTCAAATCCCTTCAAAGGCCCTTTTCTTTCTTCAGAAGCCTGACTTACCGAGCGGCCGTACAGAAAGACCGAGGGACTTCCTGATAAATATTTAAATAACATATTTGTTATGCGGTGAATATTTAGAACCAAAGAGATTGCTTTGAGTCGGGCCATAAATATTTACGGTTAATTTGCATCCTTTTTTAGATAAACATTGAGGTAAATCGTGCGATCTGAATATCCTTGATATATTGGAAAATTCAATTCCCCTGGAGAAAATGTAAACCTGTTCCCATTTCCATGCTAAAATTATTTCTTATGATATTACACGGGAAGTGTAGAGAAGGACATAATTAAAGATTAGTAATGGTTAAAGTTCCCATTAAACTTCAGTTCAATCAACACAGTTCAAACATCAGTTCAATCAATTGCTGGATCTGCAACAATTTGAATCATGATCTTAAATTTAAAAATTCTCCTTTCTAGAAAGAATCGTGCCAAAAAATCCACTGGATTGTGAATAAATTCATTTTTAAAAGTACAACCTACACTCAGAAATCGGCCAAGATTTTTTAAAATTTACCTATTGTTGTTTTATTCGGGATATATTGGCAAAAAAATATTTCAAAGGGAAATCTGGTTCAAATTTGGTTTCGATCAGAACAGTGTAAAACCCCTTCATTATTTTTGAATTTCGTAATTTAGTTTGTGGTTCCAATCTCCAAGAACACCTCCAGCTTGTCGAAGATTGGTGCAAAAAATGGAGGACAAGACAAAGAAAAATATACTCAGTGTATGATCACAAGTCTTGCCCCCCCCCACTGTACATCAACAAAGACATATCGACTTACATTAAATACTTAGGACTAGACCTAGACAGTAGATTGACGTGGAATCCCCAGATTTAAGAGACACCATAACAGAAGACTTGGACAGCTACGAAGACTTCTAGACGGGTCTCTACCGTGTACACAACTAACAAAACTTTATGTATACGTGTTTGGTGAGTAGTGACCGTTAGTCGATGATTATTCAGAAATCGAGAAATGCGGTCTGGTGTGACGTAAGTTTCAGAAAAACATTTTCTTTATCGTGCCACGTTTCGACCTTTATTGAGATTCAGGGCCTGGATTTACAAACATTGTTTAAATTTAATAAATACATGTATGATGTGGAAAAAGTGAATTTATACAATGCAAAAAATATTTTTTTCTGCGTAATTGTGACATTCTTGCGTGTCGTGTTGAGTGTGCCAGTAAGATATTATTGTTTTATGTTTACATACGTTCGATTTTGAAGGGGTGGGGAAGGAAGTCGTTATAGAAAGACATTTTTGTATAAGGAGTCGGCTTCTTTGAGGTGAAAAGAGCCGACGAAGGGAAAAAACGTTAGTTTATGTATAAGATTTTACTACGACCATTTTGGACATACGGAGTGAAACTGTCTGGTTCTCCCTAAGCCATCTAACATGCGCGTCCAACCCTTCCAATCAAAGTCCACAGACAAATCGTCAAAGCTCCTTACTATTATTTGGAGGTCGTGAGATGCGGTCTGGTGTGACGTAGGTTTTAGAAAAACATTTTCTTTATCGTGCCATGGTTTCGACCTTTATTGAAATCATCTTCAGAGCTCAAAGTGTTTGTTTTCCGTCAGTTCATCTAACGACCTCCGAATAATCATGAAGTTCGGTCACTAAACACCACACGCTCCTTACTTTGTCATAAACCTCACTATCAACATTATTTTTGTCAACGAACTGATCCATTCCCGATTCCAAACTTTTCATACTAACCTCTCAATCCATTGGAGCCCTCTCTACACATCCCTCAGTCGCCTTATTTGTCATTGCATGTGTCCTCCGGGTCCAGAGCTGGCATTTGTGTTATTGATGTGACTGTGTGAAAAAACTTTTTTGATAACATTTGTAATACGTATTGTGTACTAAATATGTATAAAGTACAAATAAAATAACTTTTAAAAAACTTTATGTTATTTAAATTTGCAAATGTTTTTATTAAACCTTCCATTAACGAGTCTCCCTCTTGAAAATACGTCGGTCCTGTCCGGGGCTGTTGCGGTCAAAATTATGTACAAAGCATTGAGATTGGTTACTGTATATTTTTTTTGCGTTTCGGCTGCGACATTTTCCGATGGACTTGCGGCCTTTTTCCTTGGCTGCAGGTACGCCGCGACAAATCGAGAAAAACGTTGTTTTTATTTGCCACGACTTTGAACGCCACATTTGTATTCTTATTGCTTAAAATTTGTATTTTGGGAGTTAACGTGGCCGTCGGAACTGCTTACAATGGTGGATGAAATTTCATCGCAAAATACGTGTAGAAACTACCTCTCGAAAGTGTCAAATCTATCTTTTCCAAGTTAATTATGGTAATCGTAGTTTCATAGATAGATCGAGCGGTGATTAACGACCGGGGTCCGTCCATTCTCGCTGTTTATTCTTTGTGAGATGAGTTTACTTTGTGTCTTCTCCAGAACCATTATGTATGAAAAAACGCTACGGAATTATTTTACGAGCCAATAAAAAAGAAGTCCATACCGTCGTGGGGGCGGGGCTGTATGCATACTGGTTGTATATGAAGTACACAATTCATTTGCTGCGGGGCCGCAACTATTCCTTACGGGATGTATTTCTGTCATAGAAAAACGTGTCATTTTCACTCACCTTGTGTACAAAGAGTGCATTTGCAAACAAAATCAAAATATTAAGTGCATCCATTGATAAGCTCTTCCACTAATAGAAGAGACTGCAAATGTTATTTCCAAGCGGCTCTTCATTTTTGGTTCGTGATTTTCATGCCTCTCGTTTCATCCCCCACACTTAAGGGTATTTTATGCCATACTGTAGTAGTATCTGACGTACTTGAGTTGCTTTGGCTCCGTTGCGGCACAGAAAAAGTCTCAATCTTTGTGTTGCCCTTGGAGTTTTCAGACCCTCGTAACTGTATTTTGGGCAATGTGCAATTAACAAGGTCATAAAGAGAAAAATATTTTTTTTAAAATAAAAAGAACAAAAGGCTTTGGTACAGCCTAGTTGTAAAAATACATTCCCAATATAAAACATTTGAACGAAATTGCTCCTTGGCCCGCATAAAGTCCCGAAAAAAAAATTTTGATAAATAATATTTAAACTTTTGAAACAAAACAAAACCGTATATCAAAATTCAGATACGTACTATCGCTGTTATTGCGCGTTTTTACAAGCAAAAGTGTTATGTTTTAACTATCGTTTCGGATGAAGATAAAATTGGTCGTACGATAATGACAGTGGAACTCATCCGATTCCGCCTGGTTCAAAAATATATTTCGTGATTCTGGGTGAATTGTAACAGCCAGTTTCTCAGTAATTCTGTTCCTGTTTCAATAAATGGGGAAAACTGAGCGGAAAACTTTAAAGACGTAGTAAATTGATGTATTTCTTATCAAGGCCACCTCCGCCTATATGGCGTATATACGTTATACGTTCATTTTAATTTTAATTATTATTAATTAAATTTTTTTTCAATTAATTAATCTTTACGTAAAGTATTGGTTGAGATAAAAAAAAGTGTATCACGAGCGGGATTCGAACCCACGACCTTCGGCTAATTACGCCGCTGCTCTACCACTTGAGCTATCGTGCTTCGATCCATTCGGACAATCCCATCTCAACGTACCTTTCGAATTTTCCCTCCTTTTTGCCATTTTTCAAATGTCGCGTAATCAGAATTCGATTCTCGTCGACAAATGAAAAGGCCACGGAGAGCTGTAGTGAAGCTATACTTCATTTTACTGATTAAATCCATTAGAGTTCGTGATATGATTGTTCGAATAACTTTTTTCAATTAATTAATCTTTACGTAAAGTAGTGTGCGAGTGGATCGAAGTCACGGTAGCTCAAGTGATGGAGCAGCGGCTTATTTAGCCAAGGTCGTGGGTTCGAATCCCGCTCGTGACACTGACTTTTTTATCTGCCTATTTGTAATCATATGAGGATGACATTTCTACGAGTCAAATCCTCTGAGAGCCACCTATTGATTTGATCTTTATTTTTCTATCTGTATCTTTTCATACAGCATTTCTGTATTTATCCTCTCGTGTTTGAACTTTTCAATTATTATACTAATAAATCTACTTAAGTGTAATAATTTTGACTTGTCACACTCAAACATTTTAGAACTCAATGTAATTCAATAATTATTAAATAACGCTAACTAATAAAGAGGTAGGATGAATCTTTGTTTTATATTTTATGTAATATTCATATTTAACAAAAATGACAGAACGATAATTTATTCAAATATGATATAAATACGTTTACCCGTTAATGATGAATGGTATTTATATTTTGTGTTTGAAAAGACTGTTGTCATTTAATTTAAATTAATAACAACAAAAAGGCTTGATTGAAAAATAATAGATGATCAGGAGAAAATATTAAAAGATACAAGAGCTGTTCTGTTCTCGATGAAACTGCTGAAGTAGGAATTGGATACCTAAAATAGATCGGATTTCCTGCGGTGTAAACCTCATTTCGAGGTTGAAGGAAAAAATTAACCAAAAATGACTTTTTTTGCATTTGACACCGTTATTAATTGTTTGTTGTTTATTTCAGAAAAGGAAAATGTTGGGGGATTCGACTTCCACTCAGGTCTTAAGGGATTTGGAAATTTCCCTGAGAACCAACCATATAGAGTAAGTTTGACAACAATTTAAAACTTTTATATTTATTAATTGGGTAATTTGTCAGATGGGTAAAAGAGTTTCTGAACGACGAGCACCATGGGCTCGACTGCCTTATAAGCTACCTAGGCTTCAGGTTGATGATGATGAGGGCTGAGACAAGGACAATTAACAAGACTGAGTCTGATGACAATATTTCTGTAAATAGTGAGTGTCTGCGTGGTGTAGATTTCGTCCATGGGATTGTATTATTTTAACAATTTTTAGGCACAGGGACAAATGTGATAAGCGGATGTAAATTGAATGGCCGGGTGTCCAATGGTTTCGACTCTCATGATTTCAGGAGGAGGTCGAAGCATGCTGCAAAGCTGAAGATGGGTGATACTAAGGACGACATCCACATATGCATTATGTGCCTCAGAGCAATCATGAATAATAAAGTAACAGTCAAAATTGATGTTGACTTTATAATTTTTCTTTTTTTCTAAGTGCTTAAGATCATTGATCATTTTTTCAGCATGGCTTCAGCCTTGTTATACAAAGTACAGATGGTATCAACGGAATCGCTCTGAGTTTAACACACAAAAGCCCAAGGTGATTTATCTTTTGCTCATTTTTATTACAAATTCAGTGCATTCAAACTCATAAAAATGTACATAGAACACCACGACTTAGTACATCGTTGCTTTTATCAATTATTTATCAAATCTGTCTGATAATTGTAATTTAATAAGGAAAAATATATTAATCGAGTTTTGTGTTTATTCAGGACAAAAGCTCTTGTGCTTGAATTACTTGCGGCGATCTGCCTTGTGAAAGGCGGCCACGAGATCATCCTCGAGGCGTTCGACCACTTCAAAGAGGTCTGCCAGGAGAGGCGAAGGTTCGAGACCTTAATGGGCTACTTCATGAACTACGAGGTGTTCCACGTCGAGTTTATGGTAGCCTGTATGCAGTTCATCAACATCATCGTTCACTCGGTCGACGATATGAACTACAGGGTCCATCTCCAGTACGAGTTCACACAGCTGGGGCTCGACACTTACCTCGAAAAACTTAAGTACACTGAAAGCGAAGAATTACAGGTAAAAATTTACATTTAATTTCAGTTTACTTTTGTATTTATTAACTTCCGATAAGATTGGATTTCAACTGAGGATGAAAGAATATAAACACTAATGGCCTCAAAACAAAGATTATCACATTTAAGATTAAGAATCAAAGTCCAGCCTCGGATTGGCATTCATTCTGCTGCAGGGGCTAGGAAAAAATTAAGGATGTGTGCTGAGGATATGAGTTCCTTCAATGCCAGTTGTATTGGTTATCATTTTATTGCAAGTTGGCCTTGGCTGTGAGTTTACGCGTTGTTCCTAATTCAATATGACAAAGGGATTTTGTATTATCCTGGATCTACGCCAGAAGGAAATAAAGAAGAAACAATTTTTAAAACCTTTGGTCTCTTATTGGAAGAAGTTTAAGGTATTGGCTATTTTGTTTAAATGTTAGTTCATGTGTATTCTTGTGTTTAACACAACTTCTAGTCTTGGTCTGTTCATTCTTAGTTTCATTCCCACCTTTTTATTACTATTTTAACAGATATTGTTTTATCTCAAAATAATGAGATTACCATTTATCTTCTTCTTTTTAAGTTTTAATTTTAAATAATTCAAACATTTTTTTCTCAAAAAATTCAGTACAGTTCCTTTTTATATAAAATATAATAAAATAAAATGAGTCTTAAAAAATGACCGTCATTTTCTTGGAAATTGTAATGCACTAAAGGCTTTATTTGTTTTTCAAATCCAATTAGATTTGATACCACTTTAATCCGTAAAATATACTAAATGATCTGTAGAAAAATATCATCTTGCCTTCAGTTTTGTCTCAGAAAACAACTATGATGCACTATACCGTGCGATTGACAAAATACTAGAAAATTGAAAGTTAATTAAGTTAATTGTTGATGAATCTTACCCTGACCAAAGAATAGTGGCAAAGGAACAGAAATAAAGATTATTAAGTACACTGTTTTTCGTGGTCTGCTTGACCAAGTAATAACATTCAATTAATTAAGGTTTTAAGTTGAGATAAAAAAGTCAGTGTCATGAGCGGGATTCGAACCCACGACCTTCGGCTTGATACGCCGCTACTCTACCACTTGAGCTATCGTGACTTCGATCCCCTCGGGCACCAACATAAAACCTTAATTAATTGAATGTTATTAATTGGTCAAACGGACCACGAAAAATAGTGAATTTAATTGATTAAAATGAAGTACACTTCACTAAAGCCTTCATGGCCATTTCATTTGTCGCCGAGAATCCAATCCGATTACACGACATTTGAAAAATGGCAAAAAGGAGGGAAAATTCAAAAGGTGGGGTTGAGATGGGAAGTTGGTGCCCGAGGGGATTGAAGTCACGATAGCTCAAGTGGTAGAGTAGCGGTGTATCAAGCCGAAGGTCGTGGGTTCGAATCCCGCTCGTGACTGACTTTTTTATCTCAACTTAAAACCTTAATTAATTGAATTATTAAGTACATTTGTTAAAACAAGTTTGATTTAAAATGAAGACAAAACAAAAAAAAGGAATTATGGATCTGCTGTGCTTCAGCACATTTTTAACAAACAAAAAGCCTAACTCTTTCATAAAGCAAATAAAACGAAAAGTTCACTAGCTTTGAAAACAATTAATGGTGCAAAAGTCGACAAACAGAGGATTGAAAAAAGTAGCGCATCAAAGTTGACAGTCCAGTCCTCAAATTTCTCGTGACCAAACGTGTCCTTCCGATCTCAGGAATACTTAAAGAGAGATTGCCCGTGGTTCCATCAATCCGCGGCGTTTTAACCTCAACCAATCAGCGAGAGCTAGCCAGTATTATTACTCTATGTATAACAAGACAGAAAAATTTGAAATTTCAGTAACATTACTCCTTAGTTGGAAACGTAAGTTTTCTGCCGCTGTAACAATACATTTGGTGTGGCAATTCGAAGAGGAGCAGCTATCTCTGAAAGACGGTGTTCAGATGATTCCAAAGAAATTTGAAGCCAGTGACATAAGCCTGGAGAGAGAAGAGGGTTTTTGATGATAATCATTATTCTCTGAAGGAAGGTCTGTGGGACTCTTGAGGCTAAAACGTGATTCGTTTCCGATAGTCTTCGAACCCAATTCAATCAAAGTAAATGTTGCGTAATGACCCAATAGTTCAAGTAAATCAGATAAGCAATTGAATAAACAAAATGAAGAGAACATCCAAAAAAGGATCTTTTCACACGCTCCACAAAAAAGAAAAAAGATTTATTGAAAAAAGCATATACTTGAAAAATAATGACAAACGATAAAAAGAAGAAGCTCATCGCCATAATGGTATAAAAAAAAAACAAAAAAAACAGAATGTGTAGAGGTTAGTGACAGTTGATCGATAATTATTCAGAAATCGTGAGATGCGGTCAGGTGTGATGTAGGTTTCAGAAAAATATTTTCTTTATCGTGCCAACGTTTCGATCTTTATTGAGATCTTCTTCCCTAGAGAACGTTGGCACGATAAAGAAAATGTTTTTCTGAAACCTACATCACACCTGACCGCATCTCACGATTTCTGAATAAAAAAACAGAATGATTTTCTGTTTGATCTGGATATGCCATAAAGGTATGCTTCTTTCATTGTCTCAAAGAAGAGACCTACCGAGCCCTTCCATTGTTGGGAGGGAGCCTTCAGCCGATGATGCCCGAGGTTCAAAAGTACGCTATAAGACAGACCTAGCGAAAAGAACTCACGAATTTGCGATCGAGTTCGGAGTTTCCCAATCGACGTTAATCGTGGGCTGCAAAACTTGGGGAAAGTGAATCGCTCATTAAGAATGGTTCCTCATGAGTTGACCATTGAGGCGGGCATGACGCCTGGTAGAAATTCGTCAACATCTTTTGAAAAATGACCTTCATTTCATCAAAAGAATTAGTTATTTGCAATGAAAAGTGGATATACTGGAGAAGCCCCATAATCTTCAAGAGAAAACTTAATTCTCTGGATGAGTTCAAAATGGAGTTGCAGAATTCTTCCGTTCAAAACGCAAAGGGTGGTATAGTAAAAGATTCAAATACCTAGCCTCAAGATGGCAACAAACCAAAGAACACAATGGTATGCTTTGAATATATAATAAAAAAAATGTATGGCTCATCCTATATTTAATTTTATCTAGCAGTTGTTTTTGTAAAGTTATAAACTAATGAATTTTAAATATTATTGATTGGCTAACTTAACGATCATTTTTAAGAAAACAGTTTTAGTAATGGGATCCATCTTTAATATGTATTCATAGAGTATTTTGATCTCAGAATGGTTCTCATGTTCATATGTGTAAGGATCGAAACAGAATCCATCTATTCACATTCTGTTCAAAAATCTAATACACTTCGTAAATCGAGTCTTTCTTTTAAAATTTCTCTTTTATCTTTCATCGTATTGAGACCAGTGCGTTAGTAGCAATAATGGGTTTTAAATTGGTTGCCTTTTAATCATGGCTCCTATTCGTATTGCTAGAGAGTCAGAATAAACAAAATTCAATGTTTGAACAGCTGTTGTTCTCATATGTTAATTTATTTCATTCCATTCCACATTGGAATGGGATGCTCAATAATGTGCACGATGCTTAAGTTAGCGGAAATTACGTTCATGATAAAATTTGAAAAAAATATCGAGGAATATGGAATTGATCAATCGCCCACTGACATCCGTTGGTGGTAAATGTGCAATACTCTGAGTTTTCTGAGTTGGAATTTTAAAATTTTAAGTGGATGCATCGTTGACTTGCTCGGTTTTTCAATATGGGTAGTCCTGTTAGCCATACTCTGGGTATGTGGCGTCGATGCCGCTTTGCCGTTTTGTTTCTCATGAATTTTTTTTATAACAGGTCCAGATATCAGCATACCTGGACAATGTATTCGACGTGGCAGCCCTCATGGAGGACAGCGAGACAAAGACGACCGCCTTGGAGAAGGTTGCAGACCTTGAGGACGAACTTGGACATGTATGTACAAACAATTTCTTATTTCTAATATTGGGTTGTCCGGAAAATAATGCAGGATTTTGGTATTAAACAAAAAAAAAGAAACTAGTTACTTTAAAGCAATGTTCTTTAATCAAAATAATTTNCATACAAATGAGTAATCCTGTAAACGTAAACAGAATATTTTATATAGATTTTTTTTAATGAAAACTTAAAATCCTGCATTATTTTCCGGACAACCCAATAGTAATAATATTAATAATATTTTTAAAAAGTTTGGGGATTAATCTATCAATTTATTTTGCACCAGGTAACCAGAAAAGTTGGTGCATTTTCATTTGTTATTGTTTTAGTACTGTTAATCAACATTTCTATTTACTTCCGAAAAATGGCAAAAAGGAGGGAAAATTCAAAAGGTGGGGTTGAGATAGGAAGTTAGTGTCCGAGTTAATCAAAGTCTCGATAGCTCAAGTGGTAGAGTAGCGACGTATCTAGCCGAAGGTCGTGGGTTTGAATCCCGCTCGTGACACTAACTTTTTTATATCAACTAAAAACCTTAATTAATTGAAAGATTTCTATTTACATATAAGATTCAAGTCACATTATACTAAGAAGATAATGTATCAGTTTGTCAAGAAAAAGTGCCTTCAACAGTTCCTTGTAAATTATAAAATATTTTCTTTCATGCGGCTTCAAAACTCATAATTTGTACATCCTTATTATATGAATTTTCACTTGGTACTAAGCCGAGACAGCTCGTAAAATTTGCGCTGCATTTGGTGATGAGCAATGAATGCATGGCCTAAAAGTTTCTTCTGGGAATGAAGGGATTAAGAGGAACTATGGTCTGAAGACCTTACTTGAATATCAATAAATTGAGGGAAGAGTATTACGTTAACTGAGTAAAGGAAGGAAAGCATGCATATTTTTGCAGATTGATTTCATGCCAAGGTGTACTTTCCTTCACCTTACTCGTTTACTCAGAGACTATGAATGTTTTCCCCAGGAGCCAATAACAGACAAAACAAACAATGTGTACAAATTTGGATTACACAAATGTATTTTTCAAGTGACTAATATGTACAACGAAAGATAGGTGACAATAAAAATAAATCTTTATGTAAGGTTGGAATGAAGGTTTGGTTGGAATGAAAAAGCTAGTACCACAAGCGGCCTTCGGCTAAATACACTGTTGCTCTAACCACTTGAGCTGTTGTGACTTCGATCCACTCGGACACCAATTTCCCATCTCAACCCACCTTTCGAATTTGCCCTTCTTTTTGCCATTTTTGAAATGTCGTGTAATCAGGATTTGATTCTTGACGACAAATGAAATTGGCCACGGAGAGCTTTAGTGAAGATATACTTCGTTTTACCTATTAAATCCATTATATTTTGTGGTCCGATTGACAAAACAGCTTCTTTCAATTAATTAATCTTTATGTAAGGTATTGGTTGAAATGAAAAAGCTAGTGTCACGAGCGGGATTCGAACCCACAACGAACGGCATATTTAGCTGAATGTCGTGGGTTGCAATAGGACGGATGTACTTGTGCATCCCGCATAACAACAAGCGTTCCAAGAGCCATGTTATCGGTCTGCCGTTGTCATTTCGTACGTTGCTGTAGAGTGGTCAGATACTCCAGACGGCATTTTTTCCAAATATCTGCCACGCATTTTTGCAGGAATTGCCATCGAGTCACATATGTGGCGCGCGGTCCGTCCAATCATACTAGGGTGTCGCCTACTAAAAAATGTCCAGGTGTCAACGTAGAATAATCGTTTCAGTCTTGATAGCCATGGTGCACAACTCCTCAAAAGTTAATGGTTGATGGTCCAAAACCCGCGAGAGGGTGATATTTCAATGATTTTACCGCCGCCACCCATAATCCTCCAAAGTGAGAGGCTGATGGCGGTATGAAGCTCCATTCGATGCTCCGCTTCACAATCTGGACGTTGATTTCTTGTCTCGTATTCTTGGAGGTCCACCATACTTAAGGTGACAGAGTGACAGAAAGTGAGAGACAGCTCACGTTTAGCTCCGACAAAAATTTTCGCGTTGTCGGACATCATCTTGCTCGGGAGCCCTCTTATAGCAACAAATCGGTCCAAGCATGGGAGAAATACCGGAGTCAATAACTGCGAGACCACCTCAGTATGCACGGCTTTAGGCTTTAGTTCCGAGACAGACAAATATAGACTTTGCCCAGAGTAGCTTTGCATCGTAGAGATTCCTGTATCTGGAATGGACCGGCGAAATCTACTCCCGTATTCAGAAATGCTCTACCTTGTTCAAAACGTGAGATGGGCAAATCCCCCATGAGAGGCGCACTGGGTCCAATTCTCAGACGGTGGCAGTGAATGCAGCGGTGAACACAACATCAGACAAGCCGTCGCGCGTTGGGAACCCAGAATCTTTGCCGCAGTAATGCTAGTAACAGCGTGAGCATGGACCCTATGGAGATGGTCGATCAACAGCGTAGAGAGGTGAGATTTGTTGGGCAGTAGTATTGGATGCTTCATTTCTTCGCTCACGGGTGCATTAGCTAAGCGTCTCCGCACCTTGAGAATCCACAAAAGGATTTAGAGATTTTAACTCTATCAAATTTTTTCGAAAGTGATACTGCCGCACGGATCTCGTCAATACGTGATGGGTTTCGTTGATTTCTCTTAGTGTCAAGAAGCCGGAGGTCCGTTGCTCTGTTTCAGCTCGCATTTTCACAATGAAACAACTCTAAGCATCTGCGAGTACGACGAAAATCGCTCCAATAAGGTCTCAATCGTACCTACATCGTTGGCGGTCAACAGAATAGTTTGAGGCTTGACTTCCAGTAAGTAAGGTCCGCCTTCCAGTCAACTGTTCAGAGGCCACTCTTCTTTCGGTTGCTTCATACAACCTGTCCACCACGACATCTGACTTGTAAAATTACCCGGATCTGTTCCGCACGACGCCAAATCTGCCACATTGTCCTCCGATCATATGTGAAACCACCAGTCGAGCGATGAGTCTCCAATATCTTCGCGACTCTAAAATGTTTATGATTATGATGTGGGAAGCTGAGCAAATGGGTTCCTCACAAATGAACCAACAGTACACACATTATCCTTTTATTGCTTTGTCGGCACAAAGAATTTTTTCCTGATTGTCTCTTGCAACAGAAAATGGATCTTTTACAAGTAACACCAGGAGGTCATCCATGAATGTCACCAAAAGGGAATGGACTCATAGTGGCTTAGTGGTGAGGCTCCTGGCAAGTACTTAGAGAAGAGCCTGTTGTTCGGTGGTGCCCTTATGGGCTTCCTTTACCAAAGGCAGGTTCCTCTAGGGGATGGTTAGAAATTCCACTTTAAATGAAACAGCACCGGGGCAGATCTGGTAATTCGACGCTGGCGAGGCCCCCTATACTCAGGGAGATATAGAGTTGGCTCTATCTAGGGAGTGCGTTGGGAGACGGCTGATGAATTTCAGTCCTATCAGGCTTTACACGCAGCACACAGTTAAGTGCAAATTGTTAACCCACCTCTTTAGAAGAGGCAAGCGGGAGAAGTTGGCCTGTCTGTATGATATATTCTGTGGATGACCTTCTAGGAGGTGAGTCGCTCCTAACTTGAAACTCTAGACGTGTGATAAGGCTTATGTGCCAGGCCTAAAGACATTGTGATCCCCCAGAGGAAGCATATATGTTACCAAATGATCCTGCCCATTGAAGCAAAAACTGAATATTCATCAACAATGTTTGGTGGAGTACTTTTTAAACATTTTTGGGCAGTGCGCTCACTTATTGTTTCATCAGCCGATGCACTGTAAATTTTACGAGCTGCTTTGTCCGCCTTAGTATCAAGCTAAAATTCACCCAATAAGCATGGGGTGAATAAACATGGGTTTTGAAGCCATGAGATAGAAAAATTTGTAGGATTTACAGTGAACTGTTCAAGATACTTTTTCTTTATGAACTGACGCATTTTCCTCTTGGTATTAAGTGGCGTTAACCCTAATCCTTCTATTTAAATAGAAAGGAAATGAGGAGTTGGTGTCCGAGTGGTTCAAATTTATGATAGCTCAAGTGGTTAGAGGAGAGGGAACTTCGGCGCAATGTGCCGCTGCTCTAGCCACTTGATCAATCATGAATTTGATATGCGGCATATGAGCCAGGACATGGGTTCAAATCCCACTCGTGACACTAACTTTTTTGTATCAACCACGACCTTAGATAAAAGTTAATTAATTAAAATAATTAATGCAGACATTATGACTACTAAATATATACGTGGGTAAATAGAAAGATTGATTAACTTTTCTGGAGATTTGGTATAAATCTGGAAACCATTTTAAGTATTATTAATAAAGTGTTTATGTAATTTATTTTAGGCCCATGGCAGATTTTCACAATTGGAAAGGGAAGCGAAGACTCAAATTGTAACTTTAGAAAGAGCCCTTGTTGAAACAAGAGCCGAAAGGGATAAACTTCTCGAGGGCAGAAGGATAGCAGAAGAAGAGGCGGAGACTCTAAGAAGGGAATCTGCAGTCTTCCGGGCTTCTTTAGCAGAAGACAAAAACGGAAATTTCCCTCGAGAATCGAGCTCAAGCGGAATTTCATCATGTTCATCGTCTGGCGGTGGAAGTACTGGAAGAGGTGAAACTCCACCGCCACCACCTCCGCCTCCTCCACCGTTGCCTTGTGCGCCTCCTCCTCCACCACCCCCACCATCGACGAATCTGTCAGGTGGACAGTCGGCCCCTCCGCCACCTCCTCCACCTGGCCTGATGACGCCGCCTGTCGGTGCCATGACTATCAAAAGACAGATCCAAACGAAAAATCGCCTACCAACTCTCAATTGGGCTGCGATGAGACCTAATCAAGTGCGAGGAACTATATTCTGTGAGTTGGATGATGGAAGGATATTTAACAAAATTGACTTTAACGACTTTGAGGAAAAGTTTAAAATGCCTGGGCCACCCTCAAAAGACCACTCAATGACAGATTCTAGTCTTTCAACAATGCCAAGCAAAAGGTTTAAGAAATCAGATCTCATCTCTCTCCTCGAGCACAACAGGCTAAGAAATATTGGTAAGACAGTTTGTATAAATTGAATCCTGTCTGATGTAATTTTTTAAACATGAAATGAACAAAATTTTTGTATTGTGTCAAATTTAATGATCTATTTATTTTAGCAATATCAAAAAGGAAAATTGGACTGGCAATTGAAGACATAACAAAAGCTGTAAACTCACTTGATTTGCGATTGATACCATTAGAAACAGTAGAATTACTTATGAAAATGATTCCCACAGAGGGTGAAGTAAGTTTTGCTATAAAAAATACTTTCTCATCATTTTTTACTAGAAGGCTAATTAAACATGTTTGATCAAGGCTAAAAAATACAAAAAATACCTGGAAGACAAGAAAGACATATGTGCGTTGACCGAGGAAGACAGGCTTCTTCTTGAGCTCAACAAAATCACCAACCTTCCCAACAAGCTTAGCATTCTCCACTATATGGGCAATTTCAATGAAAATATAAGTTTTATCGCACCTGTAAGTTGAAAATTAATTATTTGTAGGATTTCTTTTGTACTGAAATTTCTGAATTTTAGCAAATTGAAATGTTGAAAGTGGCATCAAATGCCGTTAGACATTCTTCCAAGTTCAAAGGTGTGCTGGAGGTCGTTTTAGCCTTTGGAAATTATGTAAATAGTGCAAAGCGAGGCCCAGCGTATGGCTTTAAGCTCCAGTCACTTGACTCACTCACAGATCTAAAGACGGCTGATAAGAAAACCAGCCTGATCAACTACATAGCAGACACAATCAGACTGAAGTTACCCGAGCTTATGGACTTCGACACCGAGTTGACAAACATTGAAAAGGCTGCGACGAGTATGTACAAAACTCGCAACAAAGTACAATCGACTATTTATGATTTATAATTCATTTGCAGTTTCTTTGGAAAATCTGGTGAGTGATGTCAAAGAACTGGAAAAGGGAATGGATTCAGTACGGAAGGAGAATTCTGGGCGAAGTGATGGTGTCCTCAACGACTTTCTCAGCTCGAGCGAGGAACGGCTCAAGTCCCTACAAGCTCGCCTTGAGGAAGCGAAGGCCCTTTTCAGAGAAACAGCGGAGTACTTTGGCGAGTGCTCACGGACGACGGACCCGACCACTTTCTTCTCATTTTTCGTCCGCTTTGTCAAAGCATTTAAGGTAATTTCAATTAATATCAAAGTAAATATGACGATAATTTGCCAGCTGTTCTTGAGTTGTATTGGTTAAAAACTTGATAGCCAGTTTTATTCTTTAACTTTAAACATTTACAATTTTTACATTCGCCCTTTTCTTAAGATTTTTAATATTTTGTTATTCTACAATTTGAAAAATGTGAAATATTAATATTAACTGTGATATTTTATTATAAAAAAGATTCTTTTGTGAAAAAATAAAAGGTTTTTTAATTATCATTGTGTAATATTAATTTAACTAGTTATTAGTTGAGAAATTAAACAAATTTATTATGTATAATAGTGACTAGTACAACTCAAAGTGCAGACAAAGGCAAATTACAAATGGTAGAAGTCAAGTAAGCTAATGTTTTGTCTATGGCATGATTTATTAGATAAGCATTTCAAAATTTTAGTTATGGATATTTTTAATTTAATATTTTAACATATTAGCAGTAGTTTCATAATGTTAAGGAATAATGTTTGTAATGAGAACAAGTAGTAGTCATTGAGAAGCATTTTGATATCGCAATTTTTAAGTTTTCCCGAGGGTTTTATTTTGTTATTTTTTGAATGTTTATTGTTTTATTTTTGTTTTACTGTAATTTGGGATTCTCGCCAGGCGGCGGAGAAAGAAAATGAGGAGCAAAGACGGTTAGAGGAGGTCGCTGCCATGAAGGCTTTCTCGGCCGATACAATCAAACGAAAGAAATACATCACTGATTTATCTGAACAGGTATTAACGAAAAATGAGCAAGCACTGCTCTTAAAAACACACTGTAAATGCTTATTGTCAACAATTTCCCAAGCAGGGGTTCTCTTTTTACTTTTCTCTTTTATTATTTCTATTATTTTATTTGGGTTTATTCTTGTAAATTTTTACTTAAATTTCATTATGTGTTTTTTATTATTGCAATTTTTGGCACATTGCATGTTCTTGTTTTTATATGTAGTCACTACTTGCATGTATTTATTTTTTAGTGTAACAGAAGGGAAATTAATTGAGAAACATAACTAACTAATTTATTGAAAATATCCTAAGTAATACCTATTTTTGTAAATACTTTCAATTTTCTGTGGTGAATGTTTGTTACTTCTAAAATTTCACAATTCTTGATTCCACAAAAATTTGTTGCCACAAATTTAATTTGTTATTAACATATGGAGGAAAATGCCCTACTGATTGGTTCTACAAACAGATTTGTTGTTCATAACAATCTGGATTTCAAGCTTTAAATGCTCATCAGCGTGAAGGAGCTACAAGCACGCCTCTTGACATGAATTGTATTGTTGTATAATTGTTGTTGAAGTGTGTGCCCGCCGATCTACCGCCAACACGACATTCTAATGAGAAGCTGGTTTTTAATATTGCTCAATTTTAAATGTGGAAAAAACTTGAATTACAACACAACTTAAATCAGTTACAATACAATTAAAATCAGTAAGAAATAATTTTAAACACTTTGCCCTATATTTAATGTGACCAGCTGTTTAATAATTTGTTGGATTCGTGAGGAGGGGTCAAGAACGAGGTAGTTTAGAAAAAACTTTTTTTCATATTTTTACTTGCATTTTGACCTTTATTCAGGTCATCTTCAGAGGATTATAAAGTGTGGTGCTAGTATTGTGGTGTCGTATCGGTGTAGTGTGAAATTGTTGCAAATAAAACCCAACCACCATTCACAACAATTTCAAACATCATCAATAAAACACATGACTAGCACCACTCTTTATGATCTGAAGATGACCCGAATATAAGTTGAAACGGCAAAAATAAAAAAGGTGTTTTTCTAAACTCCCCCCTCACGAATGCAACAAATTATATATTTAATATTAATTGCAACCATGTCTAGGTTTTGAGAGGATGTTTTCATGTGAACATGCTCCTCTAAAAGCTGTTCTAAAACCTTGTTTAATAATTTACCTACTTTTTCTGATAGTTATCCAATGTATGGCAAGCAATATTTCCTTTTTGGCAATTGGAACAAATTTTAAGGGTTTATTAAATAAATTGTTTTATTCTTTATTTAGAACCAGTTCTTTGGTTTTTATATGAGTATTTTTAGTCCATCATGCTTTATATTTTTATTTATTTATTTTTTAAACCCATGGTACAATCTTTTTTATGTTATTATTTACAAAATACCATAGATAAAAAAATTACGATGAAAAAAACATGATGGTGTGGATCGGCATTGTGATATTGATTTTAATTAGTATAATATTTAGTTGTGTTGTACTTCGTTTTTCCCACATTTAAATTTAAGCAACATTAAAAATGAGCTTCTCATTGGAATGTCGTGTTGGCGGTAGATCGGCGGGCACAATTACAATTCATGTCAAGAGACGTGCTTGTAACTCCTTCATACTGATGATGAGCGTTTCATGCCCGAAATCTGGATCATTGTAAACAACAAATCTGTGAATATAACCATCATTTACAATTTACCTACCTACTAAGTCAAATCAAAGAAATATTTTTCTCAAAAACATGAATAAAAATGGTTAGGTTTTATTTACCTGCCAGAAAAATTGCCAATGGCTAACCATTAAAAGTTGGCTAACCATGTGTGGTGGTTAGTGACCATTAATCGATAATTATTCAGAAATCGTGAGATGCGGTCTGGTGTGATGTAGGTTTCAGAAAAACATTTTCTTTATCGTGCCACAATAAAGAAAATGTTTTTCTGAAACCTACATTACACCAGACCGCATCTCACGATTTCTAAATAATTATTAAAAAGAATAAAATAAAAGGAATAGATACATTAGAAATTTGAATATATTACATACATATATTTTTTCTCACTATTGTGGAACATTTCAGCCAGCCAAAAGTTTTCATTTTAATTTCCCTTCTTTTTATGGGACTTAGGGCCTGTTTTTAATTAGCACAATCACAGTTTGCTTATTGTTTCTGTTTTTTCCCAACTCCAATTTTCTAGAGGAAGAAGGTTTTGTCACTTGACCCTAACAAAGTTGACCAGTTTTTTCGTGGAGTTCAGGTAATAAAACACATCTTTGGTGGAATTTTGCCTGCTCGTGCATGGCCTTGAGCATGTCGTCCACTGGAAAAGTTTTAAACCCGCAATTCTTATCGTGTTGTATTTTTTCCTAGGAGGCAGTGATAAACGAGCTGAAAAGCAGAAGCAAGCTCGTTCAGGAGATGAAGCTCCTTCAACAGGACGAAGTTTACAACGGTGCACTCGAAGACATTCTACTCGGCCTGCGTAGCGAGCCTTACCGCAGAGCGGATGCAGTAAGAAGGTCTCAGAGGCGGAGAATAGATTCCAACAGGCTTTCAAGGACGCTTGAGGAACTTGAATTATGACGGTAAGAATGATTTTTTAAATCATCCTTGATTTTTAAAAATTGTATTTATTTATTTTTCAGAGAGTTGCCTACTGGAAGCTGAGAGCGAAAGGTTCAAAACCATGATTAAAATAGTATATATATATATTTTTTAAATATCTCGTCTCCTGTTTGAAAATATTTTTCTACTGTGTAAATATCTGACATATTTTTCTATTTATATAATTTATAGATCTTTTGCAAAAGTCAATTCAAATAGGCACTTATTTGTGATAATGTAATGCGGCCTTTAATGTAAAGAAAAATTAACCATATATATACTTTTTACCTTTGAAAAAATTGAATTTTCAGTCATTTTTTGTGATATATTTTTCATGAATTATTAAAACGATCACTCTAAAAATCATCGAATAATTAAATTATTGCACATTCCTATGTTGCACAGACATACCCGTAACTTATTTCTTACTTTTCCCATGTTTTATAACTGTGCATTAAGTTTATTGTATATATAAACAAATTTATGTAAATAAGAAAAACTTGCAGAATTACCCAATTTTCGTTTTCGCTATTTTAGTCGTAAACGAGGTCCTGTATTATATGTGTGATAACTGTTTTATAGTTGATTATTAAGATATTTATAAGACCATGACATATCTGTTTTATAATATTGTTATGTAAATAATGTTAATCAATTAGTTTAATTGCAAGAAAAATTGTAAATTCCTTTTTGGTTTACTCACTTTAATTAATAAAGTTTCCACAAAGTTAATACATTTCTGCCGCTTCCTTTTGTAATGTATTTTCTCAAAAACCTGATTTTTCTCATCGAACTGCTAACCAGTTTTTTCAAATAAAATGAATACTATGGTCTGCTGTTTGTTCATTGATCCTTACTGTTTTAACATAAAATTATTCATGATTTTTCAAAACAGCTGTCGAGATAAAGTTCAAAAGGAAGAATCTACTCACATACTGTGGATAAAACTCCCCTTAAACCCCATTCGTTAATTACACAAAAGAAATAAGAATAAAAAAAACATTGGAAACAAAATGTTAATTATAAATATTTTGTAGTTCTAAGGCCAAAAAAATGCTTCAAAAAGAAGCAACAATTTGACTCAGCCACCCCTCCATAATAAAGAAACATTAAGTTTTTGTTGTTTAAAATAGATTGGGGAACTTTCAGAAAAAAATATTGAAGTGAGAAGTTTACAGAAGTATATCAGGAGTCATTCAGAAACTTTTGAAACCCAAAGATAGGGTTGTCAATTTGTCAAAAAGCATTTTTTTTACATGTCTGTGGCTGTGAATCAAAAGACCAATGCCAAAAAAAATAAAATAAAAAAATAAGTTTAGTTGTAAAAATAAGACATTGAAAAAGAATTCTTAAAAAAAATTAAGTAAAGAACAAAAAATTTTTTAAAAAAACTAGTGGTGGTCCGCTTGCCCAATTAATATCTTTAATTAATTAAGGTTTTTAGTTGAGATAAAAAGTCAGTGTCACGAGTGGGATTCGAACCAACGACCTTCGGCTAGATACACCGCTACTCTACCACTTGAGCTATCGTGACTTCGATCCACTTGGGCACTAACTTCCCATCTCAACCCCACCACCTTTTGAATTTTCCTTCCTTTTTTTTCCATTTTTCCTTTTTATCTCAACTAAAAACCTTAATTAATTGAAATATATTAATTGGTCAAGCGGTCCATGAAAACTAGTGAATTTAATAAATTAAAAATGAAGTATACTCACTAAAGCTCAACATGGCCATTTCATTTGTCACTGAGAATCCAATCCGATTACACGACATTTGAAAAATGGCAAGAAGGAGGGAAAATTCAAAAGGTGGGGTTGAAAAGGGAGGTTAGTGCCCGAGTGGATCGAAGTCACGATAGCTCAAGTGGTAGAGTAGCGCTTATTTAGCCGAAGGTCGTGGTTTCAAATCCCACTCATGACACTGACTTTTTTTCAACTAAAAACCTTAATTAATTTTTTTTTAAACTTTTTGATGTCCATTGTAATACCGTGCATTTCTACCTCTGGAATCACCACATCAGTTAAATTACCTTTCCATTCGTGGGAAAAGATTTCTGATAAAATCCTGAGGACTTCTTTCCGATTTATCAAGAACAGCCATTTCCAACTCTTCTAGGGTGTTTTGACTTGAGTATCACTGTCGTACTCGTCACTTAAGTTGGTCCCAAATGTATATGGACTTCGAGCTGGCCACACCAAGTTCTCTATTCCAACCCCATTCTGATAGTCATCCACAAGAGGCATGGCGTTATCAAGAATCCTACACTGACGGGGGAATGGCACTACATGCCCTTTGTAAAAAGATAGTTCCTACTCACAGTTTTACTGTTACTCCAAAAAGGACTGACCACCACACTCACTCCACCATCCATCATTTCTATGCCACTACATGTTCTTCAGTTTTGTCTTGTAAGCACCTCTGTGAGGTTAGAAACCTTCCTAGTACTACAACCAATTCAGTGCGGTCATCCAAGGTAATGCCACTCCATAACATCAATGACCCACCGTTGAATGCCAACCAGAGGAACCTTACAGCATGGGGTGTACCTTTCTCCTGAGCATATCCATTTGGTACATAAGGTTATTTGATTTTCGACTGTTTATTGAATAACACTTTAAACACCACTTTGTGCCAAAATCTTGTTTGTGATTCTTTTAATACAAAATCTGTCCAGTGTTACAAGTGAACACGAGAGGAAAAAAAATAATTTTTTTTGCACTGGGGTGACCAGACTCGGGCAGAGGCGAGGGTGCCCTCGGCAAGATCGAGCGAGGTCTGGAAGAGGTCGAAGACGCGCGGGCGGCATTTGGAAGGCAAAGAAAGCCCGGCCAGGGCTCAGCGGGGACACTGGTGAGGAGTGCGGTCCGACAGGAGTGGACAAGGAGGCCTCGAGCTGAGACTGGTCGGTGTGGACGAGCGAGGCGAAAAAGTAAAACGTGCGTGTATAATTTATTATTTTTGGGACTTTTCTCATCGTCGTGGAGTGGAGGGTTCGCGTGTGCGAGGGGAGAACCGTTCTGGAACGACAAGAAAAAGGATGTACACGAGGTTCGAGCTTTTAAGTTATAAAATTGGTTTCTGGACAGTTTTTTTGTTTTAATTCTGAAGAGACTTGTTTTATTTATTTAATTTTTTTGTTTTACATCTTATTCTTAATACAGAGGACATTAATATTTTATTTTCTTGTTGTTTTTTTATTTATTTATTTTTTTATTTGTTATTTCACCCCAAGGGTTTCACTGTTTTCCTAAAGGAAGAAAATAAAATAAAAATAGTGTGGCGCTCGATTATTCCCATTTTGGAGAGGAAGCGGCCACAGGAAAAAATCTCCACTGAGCCCCAGGTACCCGGAGACCGGGTGAATTGCCAACGGTCCGGCGAGGAACCGTAACACCAGAATTCTCTAATTTTTGTGGTCCTCTTGACCAATTGATATCTTTCAATTAATTAAGGTTTTTAGTTGAGATACAAAAGTCATGAGCGGGATTCGAACCCCTCGACCTTCGGTTAGATACGCTGCTACTCTACCACTTGAGCTATCGGGACTTCAATCCACTTGGGCACTAACTTCTCATCTCAATCCCACCTTTTAAATTCTCCCTCCTTTTTGCCATTTTTCAAATGTCGTGTAATGTATTTGGTTCTCGGCGACAAATGAAATGGCCACGGAGAGCTTTAGTGTAATATCTTTCAATTAATCAAGGTTTTTTAGTTGAGATATCCTGCTCGTGACACTGACTTTTTTATCTCAACTAAAAACCTTAATTAATTGAAAGATATTAATTGGTCAAGCGGACCACAAAAACTAGTTAATTTAATGAGATAAAATGAAGTATATCTTCACTGAAACTCTCATTTGTAAACTTTCATTTGTCGTCGAGAATCAAATAGATTTTCGACATTTGAAAAAGGGCAAAAAAGGAGGGAAAATTCTAAAAGTGGGGTTGAGATAGGAAGTTGTGTCCGAGTGGATCGAAGTCATGATAGGTCAAGTGGTAGGGTAGCGGTGTATTTAGCCGAAGGTCGTGGGTTCAAATCCCGCTGTGACACTGACTTTTTTTATCTCTGTCCAGAATCTTGCTTAAATTGTCAATGCACTAAAATTCAACAGTACTAGGAAGTAACATTTCATGTGTTGAAGACAATCTGATGGTATTAATAGTAACACTAGGGTAAAAGAAGTAACTTTTTGTTTCAAACAATAAATTTTATTATGCACAATAATTGTAGTTAACAATCTACAATAAGTAGATAAAATAAAACTATACATTTGATAAAAGTTCGATTAGAATACTAAGGCACAAAAAGTCTTAGTTGGCCCCTGACCGTTAACTCGGCTGGCAGTTTCTAAAGAAACTAGGCTAGAAAAGGAAAGTTAATTTTACAGCTTTTTTCTTCTCCCTTGGTTAATCGAAAAAGATCTTTTAAAATATTGCTGCTTTTTCATTTTCAGAATAATTTAAATGTAAAGTGCACCTTAAGAGCAAAAGTATAAAACGTCACAATGAAAGATCCTGTGCACCAATAAAAACAAAAACAAAAAACCACCGATTAAAATATTAATAAAAATATATACAAATACTATTTGAATAAACATAAATGTAATAATACAATATTATAAACATAAAATACAAATAAGTAAAAAGTTATGTTCACTAGATCTTTAAAAAAACTGATGGTGATAAAGAAGAATACTTTGGCTACGTTACCAGCACCGACAGAGTGACAGATTAAATTTGAAAATGTGCACTAAAATAACACAGACATCAAGTGAAAACGTCTTCATTAAATACAACTTTAATATAGTAATATACAACTTAGTTATTGTGAGGTGTAGGCGCCCTGATAAAATAAAAACCACTGAATTTTCTACACTCTGGGTCTCTCTACTAGTAAACACGTTGATACTCAATAATAGATTGTCGACCATCTTGATTACTCTCAGACGAAACAGAAATCCCGTTTCAACAGATAATGCCTCGGTCGTGGGTGATTTCTACAACGGGCGAACTTGAGATATCATGGTGGCATGAGCCCGATGTACCGCACTTGGCACAGGCAAGACACAAGTAGGGGATCGGCTCTCTTGTCGACAAAGCGACTCCAGAGAGCCAAGGATGCGATAGGCATTCCTCAGCACTTAGCCTGCAACTACAATTAAAAACGATTGTTAGTAATTAACTTTTTATTGGGTTGTCCGGAAAATAATGCAGGATTTTAAGTTTTCATTAAAAAAAATCTATATAAAATATTCTGTTTACGTTTACAGGATTACTCATTTGTATGNTGGGAAATTATTTTGATTAAAGAACATTGCTTTAAAGTAACTAGTTTCTTTTTTTTTGTTTAATACCAAAATCCTGCATTATTTTCCGGACAACCCAATAAAATAGAACCAATGATTTACCTCGGATCAACCACGAGTGTCGATTGAATGAAGTGGATCGCTGCAGGGGACACACCCTCAAACAGCTCAGGAGGGAAGGTGAGAGCACACTGGGAAATATTGCAGAACGTCTGCTGTTTTGTGTCACCCGCGAATGGTGAATACCCACTGAGAAGGACATAAGCAAGGACACCTACAGACCACATGTCCGTCGAAAGTGAAATCGGCTCATAGCTCAACACTTCAGGTGCTGTAATAATTTTAATTAAAAGTTACAACATACATATTAAAATATATAAAAAATGAAGGGTATATAATGTGTAATTTAGAAAGATCCTTACCGACATAATCTGGCGTACCGAGAATCTCCCTCACCTCCACACCATCTTGAATTACCCTGGAGATACCAAAGTCACACAGTACTATGTCCGTGTCTGGGTAGTCTCTTGTGAGAAGCATGTTCTGGGGCTGCAGACGTTAAATATTTTTAAGATTTTGCTTTTATAATCGAGCAGCCTGAATAAAAATTTTATTTACCTTGAGATCTAAATGTGCAATGTTTCTGTTATGGAGGAAGACAAGTGCTTCGAGGACTTGTTTCATGAATGTAATTGCTTCGACTTCTTCAAGTCCATCTTGGAGATCGACGACCCTCTGGAGTTCGCCTCCGGCAGCTCTGAAAAAAAAAAAATTGAATAGACATTCATGCAAACTTATATTTACTTTCAAAAAAACACTTACAACTCAAGGACGAGAGCCATCTCAGTGGGTGTTTCGTAAACTTCGAGCAGTTTGACGATTTTACCAGCTTTGTCGGACATCATGAGGACGGCGACTTCATGCAATATCTCTTGCCTTTGGTCCATTGACCGCCTTCTCTTCCGAATAAACTTTCCGGCATAAGCAATGCCGGTCACTTTGTGCACAAGCCTCCTGACAGCAGCAAATTTCCCTCTGGAATCATTAAACAATTTATATAATTTTTTTGTGTATTGAAGGAGTTAATTAGCTTATGAAAAAAGTTCTGAAGGAATTTAAATAGGGTGATAATATCAAGTGAGGGTTTTTTTCCATAAAATGTTGACAGCAAAAACAACTAGTTAATGATATTTTGCTGATGACAGCAATTCCTGATTGCCACTTAAATCTTTGTAGAATATTAATATTGAATTATATATATATTTCCATTACCATCAGCTAATGTGATTATTCATTATTTTATTACATTCCATTAAATTGATATCAATAATTATTATTACTAGTAAGTATTGTAATTAAAATGAATTATTCTAATTACTTGTTTGATGATCATCACTACAATTTAATTATCTTTTATTTATGACTGTTATATTCAACGATGTTGGGTTGTGGGATGTGCTGCCATACAGAAAACACGGCAGTGCTCAATTCTTTACAGCCCAATTATTTTGGTAGATTTCATAATAAATTACATCGCAAAATACTACTAGAAGTGAAATTGTTATTAGTCTATTCGCTCTCCGACCATTGCATATGCAATTAGGATTTTGTATTTTTTTTTTTTTTAATTATATGCCACCTTTCTTTTGCTTCATTACATGAATATTTTATTTATTTAGCATTTAATATCTAACAGATGGAGTTGGATTCTTGCCTTACAACAATACACATATAATCTTAGCAATTTACAGTTTTTAGTCTTACAAGCATTTAATTGCAATAGGCATTTCCATATTGTCAAGATAGTAGTTTTATAATAAATTACAATGTTATCAATAATGGCAATTGATAACTCTAATGATAATCAAATTTGGGTTGCAGGATGTGCAATATGTAGAAAACATGGCATAGTGCTCAATTCTTTAATTTGCCAACGTTTCGAACGGTTTTCATTCTTTTTCAAGACCTGGAATATATGATTTATTTACATTATTTTATACATGTTTTTACATCATTTTTATAGATTTTAATTTTTAAATACTAATATTTAATACAATGTGAGCAATGTGAAATTGAATTTACAATTTTATTAAATTTTAAATTCTTGACTAGACAATGGACTAGATGTTTTTTTTTGTTCTTTAATATTGAAAGACATTTTTCTTACTGGAATAAAGGTACAACTGCTTTTGTCCACTTTTTTCCGGTGTTAGCATTAAAACCGTAGCCGTAATTCGTTTCGAAGTGGTCGTTCTTCAATTTCTTTTACATACCGGTACTACTATAATTACATGACAAGGGCTTTAATTTAAAAAAAAAATTAAAATTTGAATAAACTTGTAAATTCAATTTCACATTGCTCACATAATATTAAAAATTAGTATTCAAAAATTAAAATATATAAAAATGATATGAAAACAAATGTATATGTAAAATAATGTAAAAAATCATATTCCATGCGTTGCCTTGAAAAAGAATGAAAACCATTCGAAACATTGGCAAATTAAAGAATTGAGCACTATGCCGTGGTTTTCTATATGACTGCACATCCTGCAACCCAAATTTGATTATCATTAGAGTTATCAATTGCCATTATTGATAATATTGTAATTTATTATAAAACTACTATCTTCACGATGTAGAAATATCTACTGCAATTAAATACTTGTCAGACTAAATATTGTAAATCGCTAAGATTATATGTGTATTACTGTAAGGCAAGAATCCAACTCTGTTAACTATAAAATGCTAAAAATATCTAAAAAATAAAATATCCCTGTACCGAAGCAAAAGAAAGGTGGTATATAATTTTGAAAAAATCTTAATTGCATGTGCAAAGGTCGGAGAGCGAATAGATTAATAACAATTTCACTTCTAGTAGTATTTTGCGATGTAATTTATAATGAAATCTACCAAAATAATTGGGCTGTAGCTGAAAGGGTAGCCTTGAATTCCGAAACGGTTTCCTGCATTCGAAGATTACTAAGGCCAAGGTTTCTGACAAGATACGCCTGAAGACTCTTCAGGCTAAAATGAACTCGTTCGTTTAAACGACCAAGGATTTACTCCTGAAATTCACCCTGAAATTACAAATCCGTTAAGTCAATTAACGCCAGGATGAGTTGCTGAATTGACGTCCATAAAATTATTGCTAGGGGGCGAAATCCTTTATTTCAAATTTTCTTATTTAACCCTCCAGCGATACATCCCAGGAAAAAATACCCCCTCCTATTTTATTTATTATTTTTCACTTAGAGACTTGTTCAAATAGACCGAAATGTAGACATGTTGCAGCATGCCTCTCCTAAAAGCCAAGTTTGCCGTTTTACACGGCGCTCATGACTGTGAAGTTCGAGGTTTCGGGTTCGAATCCAGCGGCCCTGCATTCGAACCCGACATACTTATAAATGGGCTTTTTTCAAAAGCACCCCGAGGGTTCATATAAACTCGTAGTTGAAATACCTTCCATGAAAAAAGTTCACCGTTTCTACCTCCACTATTACTGCAGAATTTTTACTTTACTTCGGTTGATAGTGACGATGGATGGGGTGAGTATGTAGATTCACGTTTATGTTTCCACTCATAGATTTAATAAAAGTTGGTTTATTGTTTCAACCTTAGCGGCAACATAGAGAGGCGGTAAGTGGTTTTTATTTATTCTACTTCATGTTTCCTATTTAATTAATAAATTTGTTTCAAAATGTTATCACTAGTGAATATACTTTAGTAAATAAGCAATTTTGAAACCAACTAATCTAAAACATTTTCCGTTGGGCAATAAAGGATTTTTCTTAATTTTAAGCTCATTTTTTTAATGATCCTGATGAAGAAGGAATTTTTAAAATTCTTCAAGAACTAGATAACGAGGAAGCAAAAGCCTTCCTCGGGCCTATGACTTGCCAGTTTTGATGAGCTAGAATTGGACGACATCGAAGAGATATCTTTTGAAGTTCGATCTGTATACAGGTCCTGTATTACAGGATAATTTGTTGAAGCTCGAAATCCAGAGTTTCTCTTGGATCTGCAGATGTGATCTCAAAAATTTTGCGTAGGTTTTCTACCTGGACAAAGCACCGTCTTTGAAGATAATTATTTCAATTCTTCGAGTTTAAAGAAAGCCCCCCGCAAAAGAAAAAAAAAGCCAAGAGACTCATCGAGGAAAACAAGACATGGAGAGCAATGTCATTTTGGTAAGATGGCATGATAACAATCAGGTATTATATTATTGTAACGAATGCGACAAATGTCTCACACCAGGCAGTTTTTAGAGAGAGCCAATGTAGGCGATAGGAAAAAACAACTTAAATGTGTAAGTTCTTACTGCAGTACAATCGCTGTATGGGAGGAGTAAACCACCTTATTGTCAAACTAAGATACGTTTACGAATCAAGCACAAAAAATAGGCCAATAGCACGGTTTGTATAAATGGTAAAGCCTGGTTACTCCTTCGTTTCCTTGAAAAGATACTGCTTGAATTTACAAGAACCCTTGCCATTCTTACCGGCCCCGAGGTGACAACTACTCCTAGAGTAAAGCCGAAAAGTGCAAACACTAAGTGTATAAATAATTTAAAATTCGTCAACTTTTGCTAAAAACCCTAAATTCAACGATTATTTGGAGATCGTGAGGTGCGGTCTGGTGACGTAGGTTTAAAAAAAAAATTCTTTATCATGCCAACGTTTCGATCTTTATTGAGATCATCTTCAGAGCTTGAGATTTATAAACATTGTTTGAATTTTACATATACATGTAGGATGTGGGAAAATATACAATGCTAGAAAATTTTTGATTAAAAAAATGAATTTATACAATAGTAGAAAATTTTAGATTAAAAAAATGAATTTATATAATGCTAGAATGATTGAATCTAAAATTTTCTAGCATTGTATAAATTCTATTTTTTTCCCACAACCTACATGTATTTGTAAAATTCAAACAATGTCCCAGGCGCTGAAGATGATCTCAATAAAGATCAAAACATTGGCATGATAAAAAAAAAAATGTTTTTCTAAAACCTTTGTCACACCAGACCGCATCTCACAATCTCCAAGTAAGCTTTGACTAACTGTCACTAAACACCACACACTAATTTCAACGTGGGACTTCACCTCAAAAAATGCTTTGTTTTGTATCATTACAAACGATACATTTTTTCATAATGTTGATCTAATAGTGGTTTTTTAACATTCCCTTTTGTTCCCAACATACGACAAAAGATGTCTAAAATTTTAATTTAAAAAAATTACAAAACATTTTTTCCTTGCAACTGGGAAAATAGTAGCCAAAAACAGAAACCTTAGAAAAAAAAATGTTCTGGGTTAAATATGTAGTGACGCTTTGGTTTGTTGGACAGTTTAAAGCCGCCAGCGTTTCGTGAGTAGTAAGTATGACTATTTTTTTTTTTAATGTATAAATTGGCAGCATAATTATGTCAATGACTTGGTTTTCCGGAGGAACTGCAAGAAGCAGGAAAGGCCGAGGAAGAGAGCGCTTTCTCAAAAAAACCAGGATGTCAGCGGCGCACGGCTCTTCGTCGTAAAAGTCCAATGAATATCAAAGAGTGTCGGGCCCCTTTGCCGGTGTTTTTATATGGACGGCGAGCCGCTTTTACGGCATCGTTTTATTTTCTAAAAGGGCAGCGATGAAATTTGAATCTAAACTGCGGACCGATCATCCATAGGCGAGGCCGAATTGCGCAAAGTCCCATTGTCCCGCGGAATTGGATGAGGCCCAAGGGCGGTCGTGGAACGACGACGGATTTAGAGCTGCGGCGCCTTCCCCCCCCCCCGGCTGGAGAGGAGAATCACTTGGCGATGCCGGCCGGTCCCACACCTGCACCCGGTCGTAGTTTGGCCACCGGTCAAAGCGAGACATGCCAAAAATGTTTGGAAACGGCCTTAATAAGGGTACATCTCGCTGATCGTTTGCTTAAGCAGTTCACATAGTTTCCCATTCAATGCACACTAGTGGCAGGATTTTTTGCTCACATCGGTAATCAAGGTTGAATTGTTCTTAACAACAAATGAACAGCATAATTTTAAGATCCCCAAATAAAAAATTGGAGTCTATACAGTAGACCGTTTTAACTCGTCCGTGGTTTTACCACTAAGTTGTTAAGGTTTGATTGTTTAGAACCCTTTTGGTTGGGATCATTTCGTTTGGGTAAAGTGACCGTAAACGCAATTCTTTGGGGAAAGAAGTAACTGAAGAAACCACGCGTTTGGGGAAAATAAAAATAAGTGAAATCTTGTATTTATAATGCGTATTTCCAAAAATAAAACAAGCATAGGTAACTAACTATCTACTTATTGTTATAAAGCGTTGATGTGTATACGTCCAATAGAATGCCTTGATACTGATGATGTCGTTCAATTAGAAGGGGTTACTGTAGACAGTAAATCATAATGTCTTTATCGACTTCATACCTTTCCCTAGATGCATTAAGAATTTTCGTAAACTGCCCCTCTCCGCCCCTGGCTTATTGCGCATTCCCTTATTCACGCAGTAATCATGAATGTTTCAGTCTGATTTACTTTCGACACGTCTACTACGATGTGGAACGCCGCATATGTGGGTAAATAGGAACGCTTTTTGGCGAATGCCAAGACGAGCATCTCGAGCATTTGGCGAATACAGCATGTCTGGAGCCACCTGTAGGTGAACATGCCCACATTTGAGGAGGGAAAATCGCGTCATGTTGTGTATGCAGTACGCAAATGAAGTTCGTCTGTAGGTGCTACATACATTAAACCGAGAACACACTTATCCCATGCAACGCTATGTGACACTACCCGACGTCACGTTTTGGTAGGGTGTGCATCTATGCGACGTCAAGCGCACGCCACGTACAGTCACACAGCGTGTATCACAAATCATTATCACCATCGCAACGCCTCTTTTGTTCTTAATGCATTATTTTGAGCAAAACCATATAATAAATTGCTAGTTAAATTTTATGTAATTACAGCCATGTAATAAATTGTTTATTAAACTTAATTGTTTTAAATAAAGTTATTCCGGTGTTTTGATGAATTTTCTTCTTAACCATCATAATTAAATAACTTTTAATAAATACTCATGAATTTTTGATCTCGTTTAATTTAGTTTACATTAAAATAAGAATGTTGTAATTAATATGACAAAATTATATATAAGTGTTTAATAAATATTATTTATATANTATATGTGTGTGTGTGTGTGTGTGTGTGTAATATACACACTTGTATGTATTTATTTGTTTATTTTCCATAAAACTAATATAAAGGTGACTTAAAACGTGAACACAACATTAATAACTTGTTGTTTACCTTTATAGTGTCCTTCTACTAACCTTTATTTTACCCTCTTTAGACTAAAAATAAAAAAAATCAGTTCAATTTCATCCTTTACAGAGCAAACTTGTTTAGTGTGGTTTCTTACTTTTTAAATGGTTTTCTTTGATGAAACAATACATTTGAATTAAAAAAATAATTATCAATTTATTTTCTTAAAGGTTTTTAAGTCGAGATCTCGCAGAACTTGGTCCAACGGACCTAGCGTTCGTCGCATGCCCAAGTGGTGAGTATGGCGCGTTCTACCATCCACGATGGTCTATGTGGGTTTAGGACCAACGGAAATCTTGACCGAAAAAAGGTAGTGGTCAACTGCGATGTCCGATGACTAGAGACGAACGTTTTGCTACGGCACTACGGAGCTGTCATTTAACGGCTTATTTTATAGGAAGTCCACTCCAAACTGTACGTAATGTATGGGTGAACTCTAAAACTCTTATCAGAAGACTTTCGTGAGTCTCTAGATTTTTACGCCAATGTAAAATTTTTTATTTATTAATAGTTAATTAAGAAATCGTCATTTATTATCTTAAATTTATCATCTTGAAAAATTGTGAAAAAGGAAAATTTGTAAGGATCAAGACGCTGGAGGGAGAAACAGGTCAATTTTCAGTAAGACGTCGGAAAAAGAGTGAGTCATTGCCTGGTTTTCGACCTGTAGGCACGAACGTACATCAGCTGTCTTCAGGGAGTCACTCCCGGGGATTCAACCTATACGCACGAACGTACATCAGCTGTCTTCAGCCAGTCACTGCCTGGTTTTCGACCTGTTCGCACACATATATATATAAANTAATATATATATATATACACATACATATATACATATATATACATACATACACATATATATTTTTTATCCATCAAATCCTTTACGCAACTGCCGGCAACTATTCCTGGTAGCGGCGGACTTGGAGGGTAGATCTCCAATACTTTCTCCCGCCGGCGTCTACGAAACACTAGACGTCCCGCATTCTGTATAACTGGAGAGGTATTGAGTAGAAAGAACTGTTCGCATATCAGTATCTCAATTGAACACTTGAACAATGTGAGCTGTCCTCTTCACAGATGAGTGCCGGTTTGGTTTGTGGCAATAAGTGGACGAGACCTTGTGTGGAGAACACTTTGCTTCATGTTCCATGCGTGAGTCACAGCCTTTTCAAAGTTCATGCCCGTACCGAACTGATTGGTAGAAAACAGAATGGATCTTTGATAATAAAGTACATTGAGGAAGTTATTCTAGAATCTGTGGTCCCATTCCCTTCATTGTGGATAACCTTTTAAAATTCCCAGAATATGCAAACCCTGATGTGATCGGTCATGTTGAAAGTACTGTCTCTGAAAAGCCTCCTACTAAAATTTGAAAAACTTAGGCATCATAAAAACTCATGCCTTGTAGTTACGACTATTTTATCGTTGAGACGGCTTGGTCCATCAGGGTGTTCTAAGTAATGCAATCGTATGGACGACTGCTTCTCCGATACCTCTTCTTTCTGTGGTAATCCTTTCTAATACCTCTCGAGAATCGGCAAAATCTTTGACGGGCTATTAAACTCAGATAGTCATCGATTTCAGGGAAATTCCATGCTGAAATACCGATCGATTTTCAAATTACATTGATAAAATGTGCATTATCTCTTAGCTTATCTTCACTAATGCTTCATATTATCTTTCTCGTTAAACTTTTACAAAATCTTGAAACCGCAAATCGCATTTTTGTACTACTTTTCATTGGAATAAGTAATTTTCAAGGATGTATTAAATACAATGGGTAACAATAGAGGGGCGTCGGTGGCCGCAACGGTTTAGGCGTTGACACGGCGCTCATCACTGTAAGGTAAAGGTCCTGGGTTCGAATCCAGCGGCCCTGCATTCGAACCTGACATACTTACAAACTATGTATATGTAATTTTGTCGTTATATTAATTACAACATACTTATTTTAATATAAACCAAATTAATCGGGATCAAAAATTCATAAGTTTTTATTTTTTAAAAATAATAATTTTAATGGTTTGGTACAAAATTGATCAAAACACCGGAATAACATTTTTTGATATAATGAATTTAAATAACAATTTATTACACGGTTTTGCTCATAAAATTTAACTAACAATTTACTTCATGGTTTTGCTCGTAAAATTACACTATTTTCGTCGAGTAGCGCCCGAACAGGACACTCATATTTTTTTGTAGTTTATTTCAACCTAAGTATATGTAATTTTGTCGTTATATTAATTACAACATTCCTATTTTAATGTCAACCAAATTAAACAGGATCAAAAATTCGTAAGTTTTTATAAAAAAATATTTAATTATGATGGTTAGAGATAAAGTTATCAAAACACCGGAATAACTTTATTTGAAACAAGGCTGAGCTGATGAAATTAAACTTGCAATTTATTACATGGTTTTAGTCAAAATAGTGCATTAAGAACAAAAGAGGCGTTCCTATTGTGATACTGAATTGTGATGCACGCTGTGTGACTGTACGTGGCGTGCGCTTGACGTCGCATAGATGTGCACACCCTACCAAAACGTGACGTCGGGTAGTGTCACATAGCGTTGCATCGGGTAAGTGTGTTCCACGCTTTAAACTCTTAACAAAATACATTACTTTTTGTGAATCAACGCTCATTTATGTTCAAGTGTTAATTTTTATAAAAACTCTTGTCGGGAATGGATCTTTAAACAGACGTGGGTTTCGTAATGGCAAGAATTTGAATATGATGGTGATAATTAATATCAAGATTTTATTATGTTTTAGAATTCGCTGATTAATGTCATTATTAAGGATGTGCAGGCGTCGGATAGAATTATTGACCTTTGGACTATCGGCGTTGAATTTTTTCTCTCCTGGAAACGGGATAAGCAAGTCGGGAATTTAAAGGTGTCATTTGCTTCTGGATCTGCCTTATAAGGTATTTCTAGGAAGATAAGGGTATCACTTCAATTTTAACTTTTTTGTAAATCAAAAGTAAATATTCATAACATCAGCGGGAAATCCGGTCCGTAAATTTCAATATTGACTTTATACGATGGACGGTGTAGGCATGTAGACAGTGATGGGAGAAATCTGACTTAAGAATGCTAAGTGGTGTTTAAACCAAGAGGAATCCGTCTCTGAAAACCGATTTACTGGTTTACATGCATTACATTAACCCTAGAAGGTCACTGTTACATTTTTGGGGCATTGGGGTCAAACGTGACTTCACATTTTTAAAATTTTCAAATTTTAACCCTCAATTTCATTTGTTAAAAACTCATTGCCAACAAGTTATTTGTTTAATTGTCGTCAGTAAGTAAAATAGTTATTGTTTTTTGTTTTTTTGTAAAAATAGAACTTAAATCAAAAACTTGAAAAAATTATTTTCGAATAAGGTTTGAATTTTTTTTAATTATTAGGTTATTTTCAACTATCATTAATTAATCTTGGTTATATGCAGATTACCCTAAATATTATCATTTTTTTTAACTTCTTTATGTTCGTTTTTCTTGAGGAGGAGGTGAAACCGTTTTATCTATTATGTTTTTGTATGATTAAGGTTTTATTATACCATGTTTTTCACTAAAGTACCCTCCTAATTATCTATACAGGAAAATGTGTGGTGAAAATAGACGAAACTGGTATAGGCAGGGTAGTGAGGACAATGAAAATGACACTGAACTGAAAAAATACGAGTATGTACAAAATGAATCATTATTCTTTGCAGATTTCACAAGTAATCACAGAAACTGAATCCATCTCGCATCTATGAAGATGACATTCGTTGCAGATTTTGTATTTTGTAGCTGTTCTTAAAGACGAAACAATAGCATTTGCCAATTATTCTATAAAACTAGAAGGTCAGATGTTCCCATCTTTAGTCATGGGTGTTGAGACCCATGAGGATCTTTAAAGTCCGGACTTATGCCCGAGGGGACTTTTCAGACGCTCAGTGTTCTCAAAGAGAACACCAAGAAGATTTTACATGCATGGACTTGTCACATCCCTTGGCTAGCGAGGTGGTGCAATGCTAACCAAGTTCAGAAGTGCCCTGAAAAAGGCACATCCATACATGTGCCTTGAAAAAGGCAGTTTTGTAGTTTCCAGCATGGCTTTTCAGTCATGCCTTTCACCACTCCCCGGAGAGATAGAGAAGGCACTCTATCTCCGGCTCCGATTGGCCGGTACCCTCCAGCTAAGGTACAATTTGTTTACAAACCACGACCACCACGAGTCCAATCTCAATTAGGAGAGCCGCTTGGATACTCTACTCCCGTGGTTCAGTATTACTTATAAGGTGGGACTGATCGCCCACCCGGGAGTTCGTACTGATTCACCTGTTGCCTGA